GATCCCTTAAGGCAGGCAAATTTGTATTCAGTTTCATCTCCAGCTCTTGGCTCAGTGTGTGGCACTTAGTAGTTGTTCAACACATACTAACTTATGATGCCATTTATTTAAATAAACGAGAACCTGCTTGCTGGCTGCTGAGGCGTGTGAAAAATCAGCCGAGCCAGAGGTCACGTGCACAAACACACAAACCAACCAGCCCAGGGAAGCCTCGGCACGGGCAGTGAGTGTGGTATTTAGTTGAACAATTATTGTTTTTTTTTTAATGACTATATAGACACCGAGGTATGGTTATAATAATCTGCACCTTAGGGTTGTTTGATAGGTATGCGTCCTCCTAAATCCTTGGAAACTCTGAAGAACAAAATGTTTCAGCTGCATGTCAGCAAAGCTAAACTTATAAAAAATAAAATATCAAATGTTTACAAATTTAGGTTCAGTTTTGATGCTCAAATCAAACACATGCCTTGGTGGGTGCTGAAACCACATTCAGGATCTTAAGTCCGCCCTTTTTTCCTGAAAGCCAAAGAAACCTCTCACCATGCTGACAGTCAGTCATGTTCTACCCTCTCTGATTTTAATTCCATGTAAGTTTTAGAAAACACAGAACTGTTGTGGACAGATAATTCAGGTTTGCATAGAGTAAAGAAATAAATACATTCATTAAAAAAAAAACAAACCTGTTACATTTCTCTTCGGTGCAGCAAGGAAACCATTTGCCCTGGCCCACAAGTGCTAATGAACTAGTTACACGCACTGGGGCAGGTGTGTCTGTGGTTAAAAACAGGATCTTGATACAAAGCTGCAAACTTTACAGTCGAAAAGCTGGCAGCTTGCCACTGCATAAAAATACTAGACTCATAGAGATCCAGAACCAACACTTCTGTAACAGCACATGGCATTTTTGTTGGTTTTCACTTTTATTAGCACAAATTCTCAATCAGGAAAACAGGGGCAGAGCCGTCCTATCTCACCCTAGAAACTCCCAGTCTCTAGATGTTGACTCCCTTTGTAGATCGTTCTCATATGAGGAAAATGGACAGGAAACACACCGAGTTACTAGCTGTCTGTTTCTTCCGACGCCCCCCTTCACTGGAAACTGTTTCTTGACAGGGAATTTTCCTTCAGAATATCAGTGCTTCAGGTATCACACCTGAGGAGTTGTCCCTCTTCAAGTTCCCAAAGCGAATTCTCTGGGATAATCTGACAGTAATGCCTCTTCTATAGAAGCACTTGGTATCATCCCTCAGCCTGGGCCACTAACTCTCCTCCCTTGTCTTGATTCCACCCATCCCCTAAGGTCCACTCCAAACCTTCCCACCCCGTCGTGCTAAGCCTTCCCTGATGGTTGGATTCCACACCATACCGACTGAACCTTTATCTGAATGGCAGTATTAACAGCCTCTATTTATTGAGTGCCTACTTGTTGCAAGGTACACTGCACCATCACTGCAGTTAATCCTTACAACTCCTCTTTCACAGATGAAGAAATTGAGGCTCAGAGATGTTCAGTAACTTCCAGAGTCACACAGCTTGGAAGTAACTAAGTGGGATACCAGGCCAGGAGCTCTAACTCCAAAATCCACTCTTTCTCTGTAACTCCACATTGCCTCTCATTTAGTATTCCTTTTTCCTAAATTTGGTTTCCTCCAATAAAAATCCCTTGAGGGGAGGGATTATGTCTTTTTTACCTTCTCTTTACAGGCACCATCCTCAGATGTTCACTAAGCATCTGCCGTGTATATGGCGCAGAGCTAGACTCTGAGGACACAAGAGACACAGTTCATGGCCCCAGGCCTTGAGGACAGGGAACAAGAGCAGAGCACAGAGCTCCTATCCAGTGCTCACGAGCGTCTGTACCAGACTAATC